CGTGCCCACTGCTTAGCTCAGTCTTCCTAGAAGTTTGCTAAGAGATTCAGTTTAAAGACAATTGCTTTAGAAATTCAGTGCTTGACAGAAGAAGGCACCCAGGACAAGGAGTCAGAGGGGTGGACCTGTCGATCCTTGGCCTGTGGACATGAATACTCCAATTCACCCCCTTTCAGCCAAGTCTCCTCTCCTTTCCCCCTTCCTCTCTGGCCCAGCCCTGCTTCCCTCCAGCTACAGAGCAATCACTTCGGTGGGTGAGTTGGAAGTGAGCACCCAGTCACCGGCCGGTCTCTGAACCTCAAGGGCCCAACAGACCCAGTGACTTGCAAATGAGATCGGTGCTTTTCAGTCGCCCAGGGATTATTTTAAAGGCTCCTATCCAGCCACCTAATCACAGATTCAAAAGGAAATACATTTTTTTTAGTTAACAACGATAAGTATAAGAAGACACTGTTATGAAATTGATTGTGGTAATGAGTGCACAACTCTTACTTGATTGAACTATTAAATTGTATGATATGTGAATTATATGCCAATAAAACTAGGTTTAAAAAATCCCATTTCATGTTAACATATACAATGCATTTTATGAAAAAATAACTATATTTTCTAAAACAAACAAAAAAGGCTGTGAGAAGATTGGCGCTGCTTTAGATTTTGGTGATTTTTCAATGCCTACCTTAATAAAAGAGCTATTTCTGAAAAAGATATATATATTTTTAGGCCTTGAGGATTTTAACAAGTAGAAATCTGAAACATGAGCCCAGGTGATATTTAATTTGTGTCCTTCTTCTAGGGCATCATGACCTACCAATTTTGCCAAACTCATAATTTAAGCGTCGCAGCAAGAGACACGGATTCCCATTCTGAAGGGCAGTCGTGTTCCTGCATCCATAGGCTCAGAGCCTGGCGCCGAGCACGGCCTCTGCACTCTTTCCGTGACTCAGACTAACCCTGAGGGGAGTACTGAGTGCCTCACGCCGCTTAAGAGTGAGCACTGAGAAGTGCAAGAGAGTCTCCATGGTTAAGAACCTACAGTCTAGCAGGGCCAGGCAAACACCATGACTCCAACACACGGTTAAAAAACGAGGTACCCAGACACAGTTCGAGGCAGAGTATGGGAGCAAAGAAGACAAAGAAGTGAAAGGAGAGCGT